TAGCTGTGCCATTCCCACTGGAATGCTCGCCACTGGCCACTAATAATATTTAAGATTTTGCCATTTCATGATTGATTCGCTCTACCTTGTCAAAAGTGCTGTGATTTTATTTGCTAGTGATGCACTGCTCAGGTAATTCATGAAGCCATTCCGCACGAGTCCTGTGTTGGAGTTTGTCTCGGGGGCAGGCTAATTCATGGAATGGACACTTGTACATGGAGTTATACAGTTTGGTGTCTCTCAGCTCTTTAACATCGCGGACACGTTCTGTAAGATGAATTATTTCATTAAACAGCTCCTCTGTGTGTTGCGTGCAGTGGGTGCATTCAGGCAATTAAGCTAATTGCTTATCGGGTCAATCAACTCACCTGCCTGCTAAGCTTTGACAAAGAGGACAGACCTGTGGATGGCGTATCGTGCAGTGGTTTGTTAATTTTCGGTATGTGTCTGCACAAGGACACAGACCAAATGAAAGGATGCATGTAAAAGCAAATGGAAGCAGATATCCCATTCGATGTTTGTACAAATTAATAAAAACATATTCAGGGACATCAACCTACCGGCTTTCCAGACCAATATTATCAAGCGGCATTTGTTCAACTCGCCAAGCTGTGGACCGGTTTTGATGTTTTTTAGTCACGTTAGCAGAGTGCTCTTGCCAATCCCATGTGGTAATCTGAAAGCATTTGTTGAACAAGCCTGACGATGCTGATGAGACCCAGAAGGTCAAAACCGGTTCAGAGTTTCTGTGCGTAAACAAATGCTGCTGGAGAATATTGGCCTGGAAAGCCAGGAGGCGAACTGAATACAAAAACGTGTAATTTACATGCGGAGATTGCAGAATGGACATCCGCTTATATTTGCTTTTAGCCACAATACTCAACGCACACTTCACAGATCAGTCCGTGTTAACTCTAAAAAAAATGTATTCATAAAGTACACAAGTAGACACATTGCTGTGTGCATCCCGCTGCGAGAGGAATGCCAGCTAATTACGCCGCTCCAATTTGAAAGGCTAATTGATGCTTGGTTTTGCCTTTCAATTCCAAAATTGTTATTGTCTGACTTGGTGCCATAAATAAGCACGTGGATAATTAACAAACAAAAAACATACTTGAGAACCACTGTGTGAGTAATAGCACTGAGCAAGGCTGCGATCCAACATTGATAATGAGGGTGGACACGGATTGCTTAGCGACAAACTGAAGCAGAGTTTCTGCAAAACTCAATATGGAGATTCGGCACGTAATGAATTGTATGAATCGTCAATGGTTTTGACTAAAACTCATTTTTACATTCAAGTTTACATTCATTGCAACAATCCATGTAATATGCATGCATTTACCATGTGAAAATGTTTTGGTCATGTTAAATCAATGCTGATGGAATGATTGATACTGTCCAAATGGAACAGACGAGATGAAGAGCAACACAAACTAGACAGCAAAAGTTAGACTAATGAGTGATTCGCGATTCGAAAAATCATGCACGCAAATTGTGACAATTCATAAACTCATAGAGGATGGAGGAGATGAATCGTTCCACGCTCGATTAATATTCACAATGAATGGAAGCAAACCAATGTGCCCGAGGAAGAAAATGTTCAATCAGTGCATACAATTAGTTATGAAAATATGAACCAGCAACATAGACACTGACAAAGAAAACAGAACAACGAGCGAGGATATATCCTTGCAATTACACTGGAAGACAGAAAGTGAAGAACATGGATTGAATAACAATGGAAATCAATGTTACTGACCATTGACAACAGTAAGTGCACTCGGGTATGACATTGCTGAAATAAATCATGGCCAATGAACAAGACTGGGGATGGAATGGGGGCCAAAGGAGAGAATGTGCCCACAATTACATCCGCCATGGGGATGGAACTACACGATCAGTTCACTTGCAGCAGCAAGACGGATTGTGGCATCGGGGTAACAAGAGGGATTGTCACCACGTGGGGAAGCCTTCACCCAACAGTCGAGAGACAATGGCGGAGTATGATCTCTGCACAGTGAGGTGTTTGACCATCTATCGACTTTGTTGATATGAGCTAAATTTTGAACTCACCGCTGTCGATATTTTGTCAGTGAAACAGCGTCGTAAATCGCTCAAACTATGACAACAAACACAGCGAACACTCCAAAACATTGGACGGCATTTAATAATATTAATAATAACAGTTTAGACTTTGCTGGGCTTAGGAAGGTTTATTTGGTGAATATTCTCAGGCCAATCACAGTCAAGGCATGGAGTGCAGTCCTGTGTAAGTCTTTTTCTCACGTATAGCTGAATGTAAAATTCCTAAATCTACGTAGGTATTAAGGCTTAGTTTATCGAGCCGATTGAAGGCATCTTCCTATGACTTTACTCCGCAGTGGAGAAATAAGGATCATAGGAAGACCGAATCTCAAAATGTCACAGGCTCGTAAATGTGAAGTTGGATAAAATTAATTTAAACGTCGTTTGCCATTGATAAATAAAATTACCGTGTCAAATTAGCGGGAAATGTATGCCAATAACTCATAGCCAATACTGGAGATGAGCAATTCTAATTGAGAGGAGTAGCCAAGCCACATGAGGGTACGGTAGTCTGCAACATAGAGCTAGAGTCGTAAGTCAGGTCAAATAAAGTTGGAAAGACTGAGGAAAATTCCAAATGCCAGCAGTGCAATGTTCCATCTTGCAGGCAAACAGCTCAAGTTCAAGTTAATTTATTAGATATAGCCCTGTGAGCCATTCGGCTCTTGAATCGGGTGCAACCGCAACAAACAAAAAACAAAAACAGTGGAGACAGGCGAGAGGTGTCAAAAACAAGTGTTGACACCAAATCCGAGAAATCAAGAGGCAGAATCAAGGCACACAGTTTTGAAGACTGTAATAGTGGCAATATCCACGTAAGATAAGAAGGTCGACTGAACAATGAGAGAGTAGCCGTGGCAAATGGGTGAGGGCAAACTCTTCAACCAGGAGGACAGCCTCATGATGGATTATTTCTAATAAGTGAATACCAGATCGTCGCAGGATTATATAAGCATTGGAGAGAGATGTATGGTCACAAATTCCTTGCCTATAACCCATCAAGCTTGGTTGTTCTTTAGTACAGCTTTGATTTATCAGTATTAAGGAAAGGAAACAATTATATATGCGGAAAGGGAGAACAAACAAAAACATTTAATTGAACATATCCGTATTATCTATATAAATAACGACCTTAATCTGTATGTCTCAAAAGCCTCTAGGGTACTTTCCGACAAAGTAGAAAGCTGGCATTTACTACATATGTAGCTTTTAGGCCACAAACAACAGGAAAAATCGGAAAATCCGAAATGTTTTATTTGAAGGCCCCTAAATCTCGATTTTAAGTGTCCCATAAAAATGTTTGTGCGTGTCATTCAGAAACCATTCAAAATATAATATTGTGGGGTTTTTCGTTTGATAGAGCGTTAAAAAGAAAATTAAATAAAGGCGAGAACCATTGTTCTATCTGTTATTGTTTTTGGAGCTATTTTCGGATTAAATCGGTTTTTTACTCAAAAATACGCATTTTATAATGTACAAATCTGAATTATTTGAAAACGGTAAAAGATAGGAGCTTCCCCTCAGAATATAAAATTAATTCATGTTTGCTATTTCTAATAAAAAGCAAACAGAATCTTTACATTGAGCGGTTTCCGATGGGTACGTCTTTAAATATAAAATGTTGAATCAACAACTCTAGTTTCGTGTAAAAATACACATTTTTGGAGTAGTTATTAGAGTTTGATCGTAGATAAAAATTCAAAAAAATAAATCATATAAGCTTTGAAAACTTTTGCCTGACGAAGACAGTCTTTATGAACTAGTTCATAACAATGATTTACATTTATAAGGCATGTTTCATCCGTAGATCCCAATGTATGCGCCGTAAAATTGAGCTTCAAATCAAGCCGCTGATACACAAAGAAAAACCGTGACACATAGCCTGGATTGCCCTTCCAAACACGTCCACAACTGAAGTGTGTGAGTGAAAAATTAAAAGCTTCGCAACAAGGCGATGCATCTGAGGGTGTGCCCGTGGGTACGCGTCCATGCACATGTGCCTACTCGTCAGCGCACATTAAAGCATTGTCATAGTCCTTGCTTTTTGCACTTTTGTCAGCGTGTGTGTTTATCTTTGTGCGTGCGAGTCTTTATTCAGGTAAGCTATGCTCACACTTCAGAGTGTGAGCTGACATACAAATACTGAAGTGACATTCCTAAAATTCGTAAGATTCAGCAGGGAATGCCTGAGGCTCAGAGATTCAAACCAGGAATTCTAAGTTTGAAGATTACAAAATTCCACTCATATATTAGGATTATGGGATATGTTTGCCTAGAGCCTATTCTTACATAAGTATGGAGTGGTTTTGATATGCCATCGATCATTGAAACATGCTTTGTTTCATTAGAATAGACCTGGTTTGTGAGTTTTCTGCAAAAATATGAAACTTCCACCAGCATCACATTGACACCACCACCACCCAACACCATCACAGCCAATATACCATCACCATCAGTACGACAAAAACCATCACTGCTGTAAGAACCGTTATATCCCTGACCATCTTCATCAAAGCATCATTATACTCATCACTATCATCACCATATAACCATCATCACAATCCACCATCATCAACCTCACCTTCATCACCACCACTGTCACCTTCAACACTAGCATATCATCACCACCACCAAACTCAATGCTATCATATCACAAAAAATACCCTCATCACCCCCAACACCATCATCAGGATCATAATGGTCTTCCTCACCACTATCATTACCAACCTCAAGGTCCTCACATCACCACCACCACCACCCTCAACTCTCACACAACAATAAGAACAACAGCCACCACTCGCCAATACGTGGCAGCAACGTCAGCACGGTGCTTGTGCCAGGCTCGGTTGCACTTTAAAGCCACGTGAATTCACGCGACAGACTCAGGTGTGCCGGGTTAACCTGCCCGTTACCTTGTAGAGGAGTGGCAGCAGCTCGCCGAGGGCGAGACGCGAGTGCACAAGCACGTCGTAGACGGCGCACACCGCCAGCACCGTCACGCCCTGCTCCTTCCACAGCATGCTGCTCACGGCGCACAGCAGACTGCAGCCCAGCCATGCCCAGCGCCACCACCTCCTCCTCCTGCGCAGGCTGCTGCTGCCGCCGCCACTGCTGCCGCCGTCGCCGACGACCCCGGCGCTGGCGTGGTTCCCGTGGCTCCCGTGCGCGTTCCCGTTGGTGTGCCGCTCGCGGCAAGGGACCGCGCCGTCCTGAGTTCCGGCTTCGGTGACGGGTGAACGGTCACGGCAGCCCGTGTGGGGCAGTGGAACTCCGTTGGTTCGGTGGTGGCGCTGGTTATGGTGGTGGTTATGGTGGTGGTTATGGTGGTCGTTGTGGTGATGGTGGTGTTCGCCGTTGGGTTGCGCATCCCGGGCGCGGCAGTAGCGCGCGTAGGCCAGAAGCGAGAGCAGGAAGAAGAGGCCGGCGCCCACGTCGGCGCGGCCCACCACACCGGCCACGGCCTCCGTGTGCACTGGGTGCACCGCGAACAGCAGGCCTGCAGACGTACGCACACAACCACAATGGTCCCCCCCACAGTGTCGCCTTCAGCATATGTTCAGGGCAAATACTGTTAGCGAGCACCTATTGAGGCTGGCACGGTATACGAGGAGATTGGGCGAACACCGTGAACTGGCTGCTTTTGTCTCCCCAATACTGATGTGTACACACACCACACCAGCTGCTCATTTAAGGCTGAGTCGATCATTTATAAGAACATTTTTCATTGCTATTAGCCATGAGTGGGAATTGAACATGGGTCACCGGGTTCATAGTGTCGTGCGCTACCCAAAGACATACAAACACAATCACTTAGGGATGGCATTGGCTGTGGTGTACATGTACAATCGTATTTTTTTTATATCAACACCCTCATTTTGTGATGGTGCCATGATGTAACGGTTAGCTCACTGCATATTCAACTCAAAGCCCAGCCACCTTTGTACCACATGAGGTATGCATTAAAGGATGAGTCGACCGAGAAGAGCTGTGCGACAGGTTAAGATTCAACTTGCCACTGATATTATACATGGCCATGAATTGAAGCCAGGTTGCCAGGATTGTAATGCGGTGCAGAAATCACAGCACACACACACACTAGTAAGTTTCACTCAATACTTTAACCTTGAATACACAAATATGAAGACTAATCTCCCCCACTGGGCAAGTCTTATTAGAGAGTGGCAGCGATGTTACAAATACCTTTATCATGTTTCGATTCTCCCAGAGAAAATATCATGAGTTCATTTACAATAAAGTGAAGCTGCTATGACCGGCTAAATGATATAATAAATTAATGTTTTGATTAATTATTTGAATAATCGATTAATAATATATATACATGGAGTTTGCACGAAATTTTCATACGTGAATAATTTCCATGTCCGATGCTCAGAACGTGCTTGTAAAAAAAGGAGTTAATGGTGATGATGTAATTGTTGTGGAAGGCAAATGCCCAACATACACCCCCATTTCTAAATTGCTGCCAATTTACCGATTGCAAGAAAAATACTGTAATTTTTTTTTCACATAACAGTTTTCCGCACTAACATTAAGCCTGGGAGATACTTGCAGGTATACAGGACAGTTCTCGCCAATACCAGCAACGGTATCCTAGCGGGGCCATGATTACAATTGCTATAACAATACCAACACAGTGGCATTGCCAAGAGATAGTGGGATTACATGAAATGCATTCCATTAAGTTATATCACAGTATTCCTCATTTCAGTGTATACTTTTCTAAAAAGGGTGTATGCTCTTTATGTCATGAACGTTTGCAATAATTTGTACGAAATAATTGTATTAAATACATCCTGCATATAATATATCCACCTCCGGGTTCTCAATTGAACAAAGCGTCCAATTCGTTAAATATTGTTTATTATTACATTACTTTTAATTTAAATAGAAATATCATTGAAGCACATTGGTCGATGGAAATGTGTGTGGCTTGACAAAGAAAGTAAGGGTTGACTTTGACAGAACCGAGTTGTTTTTCTGGGCACAACAGTTCCTTTGAAGTGCAATGCACTTGGTCCATCAAAATTCAGAGGCTTTAATCTTCACCCAGAAGAACTCTTAGTCTCGCTCCTCAAGCCACTCGTCAGAGCAAACTTCAATTTCACCGACGGTCACGGCACACGTGCCAATCCATCAGCATGGAAGGGGACTCCACGCTGGCAATGTGGATATTTGGAGTGGAAGATGGCAGCAGCCTTCACGCGGCCCACTCTGTCATGTGAGGAATCACGATGAATGCCATCATCAACCTGGCGACCGAACATCAATCAATGATCTCCCGGCCTCCAGAGCAACAACTCAATGTAGACATTTCAATGTGGCCTCAGTGTGATGGTCACAATGAAAATTCTACTCATTATACAAATCATCTATAGATTGGAATTCACCAGAAAACATTTTTTATAAATATATAATTTGGTCAACATGGATAAGACTATGATAATTGATTTTTTACCCTTCTATCTGGCAACAAAAACTGACACCTTTTTACAAGGAGTCATGTTTGCATAGACCGCAATACCTGCAGTCATAATACAAACAAAAGAACATAACTCTGATAATGTGCACTGTCCTTGAAGTTGATTGGTCCACACCCGAGACAGCTTTCCTTAGAGCCTAGTCTCACATGGGTTGGACCAGATGACGCCAAAAGGCGCACAACTCAAAGACAATGCACCATCAGAGTATGAGAGCTCGGAGCAAGCATCTACACTATGGGAACCTCATTTGCCAGCAAAAATATGATAATTGATTTTTTACCCTTCTATCTGGCAACAAAAACTGACACCTTTTTACAAGGAGTCGTGCGCCTTTTGGCGTCATCTGGTCCAACCCATGTGAGACTAGGCTCTAAGGAAAGCTGTCTCGGGTGTGGACCAATCAACTTCAAGGACAGTGCACATTATCAGAGTTATGTTCTTTTGTTTGTATTATGACTGCAGGTATTGCGGTCTATGCAAACATGACTCCTTGTAAAAAGGTGTCAGTTTTTGTTGCCAGATAGAAGGGTAAAAAATCAATTATCATATTTTTGCTGGCAAATGAGGTTCCCATAGTATGGATAAGACAAAAATATTATTATACGCATTTTTCTCAAATTATTTAATGAGTTAGTGTTTAATTTGACTACATAATGTGACTGCAAGTGCTGCAACAACCGGAATCATGATGATGAGGGCAGTTTGCCATATAGGTAAAACAAATAAAGGATCGTATAGGCGCATGAACAAACACTACAATACAACGGTAACATCTTTGAAAAGCATGTATTGAGGTGAAGGCTCTTCTTTGCAGTGCACAGGGATTTTCTGGAAAAGGTAAATTTGTATACTGTATTAAGGTACCTAAAGCAAGGCAAATTAGAGTATACATGAAGCTAACCATCGAACACAGAAAAGTCACTGCATCGCACGCTTGCAGATGCGCTTCTGCGACCGTCTGGAACGCTCTTCCTTCCAATATTAGAAAGCAACTGAAGCTATGGGCTTTTAAAATGGAAATTGAAAACTTATTTCTTTATAAATGGTTTTTGTTTTTAGTCTGTTGTCCTTCCCAGCACCTCCGATAAGCACGGTTGGAAACGTAGAAAAAAGTTCAACATACGTACATACATGTTTACCTTGTGGTAATAATGCTGGATGCGCCACTGCATTATGTAATGTATTCTCGTGCACAGAGTTCTGAGGGAATATGGAGGCCTGAAGCCTAATGCTATTGTGAGGACACAACACGAGAGTGCCGTGTCACCCAGTCAGATGTGAAAAATTCTGCACTGGTGGGCACAACGGGATGTTCACTCATCCGCATTTAATCAATTATTTCCAATGTGTCCCTTAAAATGGATCACATTAATAATGGCATTTTAGTGATACGTGGCATGTATATTAAGGGGAAGGGAACTGCTGCAATGGGACACTCAGTGCCTAATTGGTGTGCCATGCCATGCTTCGCCAAAACACACTTCACCATCGGTAATGTATGCACAAACAACCCAATGACCAACACGACATGCTGTGGTGTTGGCTGTTGCGGTGGCATTGGCGTCACCAATGTTACGAAGCCCCACCTACCCAAGAACAAAAAATGCTGCCAGCGGAGGAAGACGTGGACACAGCAGAGATGTATTCTGTTGGGGAGTAACTGGCAGTTCCGTAAATACTGTAGTGTGGTCGCAATGCGTGGACAGGGAGAGTCGGTCACACACAGGATACCTGATGATCACTGTCACATTCTAATCCTCCTCCGCGTGCGGTGGTGGGAAGATATGGACAAGGGGCCTGTGCCAGAGCCCGGGGCATAAACAAACTGAGATTATTTGAATCACAATAAATAATAAAGTTCATGCCACTCACTCACTTACACACAATTGCACACTTGTCACTGTACACCTGAATGCACGCGCACGCACACAGTGCTGTTCGTTGTAAAATTAGAATTTTCAGGATTTTTTTTATCCACTGGTGGATGAAGGCCTCCCAATGCTATCGGTCATGGGGCTTGTTTGATCATACTTCATCACCCTGGACAATGTGGGTTGGTGAGGTTAGCAAGTGACTATTAAGGTCAGCATGATGCACAATGCTGTGCTGCAACTATTCCCATGCTCGGCCACATTTGCTTCCGCAAATTTGATGCCGACACACCACATTAGGTACATTCATGCTTAATCAACATAGCGGAGGCCCAAGCAGGGTTAATATGAAATGTTTTTATAATGCATGGTTATGAATTAAGCCCTGATCCGCTTGAATTTTCCTATATTGATATCCACACATCATCCTTTCCGGCTGAGTCAATTTAGAGGAGACTCATGCCACGTTCATAACCCAATTTTCCATTGCTGTTATGTTTGGCTAGAATTTGGATTCAGATCGGCAGGATCGTGGTGCTGTGAGCTAACCACATTGTCATTCGTGGCCCCATACGCACGTACATATGTAAACAGACACACTCATGCATATACACCAAACACATTTTTTTTTTAAAAATCACCATTAACAATTACAAGTATTTATAACAATTAGAAGTATAACAATTTGCTTACCATAGCTATGTTTATTTATTTTGCAAAGTAATGTAAGTGTTGTTTAACTGTATGGCTGCTGAGTTCCATGCAGACCTAACCATTGCTCTTGATCCCAGAATGTCTGTTCTTTGCCAGCCGGACAAACTCACAAACTCGCAAATAGAGCTTAATTGTGTGAATAAAAAAAATCGTGTTTATCCTGGATATCCTGTGATACAACTTGCAGGAGGGCTGCACACTGTTATTGCATGTTCTTGAGGCAGTTGTCAGGCTCATTTTGGGATCATTTATTTTCGAGGTGCAATGTAGAGTCAACATTCTCACAGGCACATTTTTATTACTTCAGCCACTCAGGGATAATGCACGATCTCCTCAGTTCCCACACAAGCACACACACACACAATGCCCGTTAGTTTTAGAGACTGTTGGGCCAGGTGCTGGTGGTAATA